CTTTAAATGGACATCTACCGTCAGATTTTGGAGCTCCATATTTACAAATTGTAATTCTGTTCTCCAATTGTATAACAGGGATTATTCCAAACTCAATTTGTCAGTGTCCTCAACTACGGGTCTTAGATCTTTCAAACAACTTGTTTACAGGGGGACTACCTAATTGCAGTGCAAAAGAGTTGAGACAACGGAACCCATCTAGCAATAGCTCTTCAAGGTCCCGTACCACAAATTCTTATGGTTTACAAATCCATACTCTCCTTCTAAATAATAATAATAGCCTTTCAGATCAGTTTCCTTTATTCCTAAAACAATGCCAAAATCTTATGTTCCTCGACCTAACTCTAAACAGATTTAGTGGAAAGTTGCCTATGTGGATAAGTGAGGCTATGCCTATATTGGTAATGTTACGGGTAAGAAATAACAACTTTTATGGTCATATTCCAGTTGAAACAACAAAGCTTTATTCTCTTCGTGTTCTTGATCTAGCAAATAACAAGTTTTCAGGGGGCATACCACAACCTCTTGTGAACTTGAAGGCCCTGACTACCACTGTTGTGGCCTCGATAGAAAATCCTTTCCAAGAAGTTTATCAATCTGTCTAACGATACCTTATCGCTAGTAATTAAAGGGCAAGTGCTTGGGTATAGTAAGAATACCATATTTTTTTATGAGCATTGATCTATCTTGCAACCGATTAGTCGGGCAAATTCCACAAGAAATATATTCACATATTGGACTGATAAATCTGAATTTATCATCAAACTTATTAAGTGGAAATATCCTATATAAAATTGGCAATTTACAATCATTGGAGTCTCTCGACTTGTCCAACAACCAACTTGATGGCCAAATTCCTTTGAGCATATCGAATGACTTCGCTGTGCTATCTAAATTTGTCCTACAATAACCTATCAGGAAGAATACCCTCAGGACATCAGCTAGACACTCTCAAGGCAGATGATCCTGCTTCAATGTACATTGGCAATCCTAGTCTTTGTGGGTACCCACTTCCAAAGGTTTGTCCTGGAGAACAGCCAGTACAAGAAGATCCCTTCAAATGGAATCAAGATGACATGACTCAAATGGAATCCTAGTCTTTGTAGGCGTTTGGATAATATTTGTTGGCTTTTTGTTTAAGAAGACCTGGAGATTCACCAATTTCAACCTATTTGACAAATTCTATGACAAGGTGCAGATCTTCTTTGTAGTCACTTGGCAACAATGGTTCAAAAAGACAAATACAAACTGAGCAAGCACTATTATATAGGTATATATGGGAAAACAACTGCAGCTTGCATCTTGTACTGTGCATGGAATGTGTGGAAAGAGAGGAATCGGAGAATTTTTGAAGGATCAACAAGAACTCCAGCTCAGGTGTTTGCTCCAGCAAGAGAAGAAATGGCGCTGCGTCGACAGGCCGGCGGACGCCCTTGGATTGACTAATGAATCACCTCTCTCCTGTTTCCCATGTGTACTGTGCTTTTCTTCCTTCTATTTAACAGCACCCTGTAAGACGTGGACTTTCTACCTTCTTAAATGATTTGGCACTTGGCAGCGCTCCTGCCCGGTTTTTCAAAAAAAAAAGTAATTTAAATCCTTTGTCAAAAGAAAAATATACATGCAAACCACACGTGCCTCTTCATAAAACAACTACGATATCAAAGACAACAAACAAGAAAAAATGGATTGGGCTGAACCGAAAGAAAATAAAACAAAAAAAAAAATCTAAAGCTAGCTACCCGCGCTATTTGAGCAGGCCACCTTGCTAGTTATAATTACTAGTCTGTATATGAGTGTAGGTTGATGGACATGACAATATAACTAACTAGCAGGAACCCCGAAGCGCGGGCTAATCGAAAAAATAACTGTAAGATATGGATCAAGCTACAATTCCTTGGTCTACAAAACCAAACTAAGATTGCCTCTTAAACCCCTTTAGGGTGAGGAGTATGTGTTTATTCTGGTAACCAACATTTAAAAACACTGGTTGCAATAGGAAGTGAATGGAAAGAATTTGAATAGCCCAACAGAACGAAACTAATCGCCATATTGGTCTCTTGCCGTCCAGGATGGAACACTGTAGCCATGTCTACGGGCATGGTAGGCATCAAGCAGCTTGGGTGATGATGAGGCGATGAAACGTGGTGCACTTTAATGGGGCCCGAGTCATTAAATAGAGAAAATACTAAGTTTGTAGAATAGTAGAATGTTGACACAATGATCATGTAGAAGAGTGTCCATGATATACCCAAGTACATAGGATGAAATCATCATGAGACGCAAATAAGCATAAATGCATCAATACGGTCATTGGAAAATACTAATAGCAATGATAAGATAGTTTAAGATACCTAGGATTGTGGATAATGAACATTGTTTTAGCTATGGCAACATGGAACTTGTACTGTATTTAAATCCAGTGAGCACCATTTTTTCCTCTACCCAATAGAAACATGCAAAGCAATTTTTTTGTTGGCCAGCAGAAACATATGAACCTATGGATGAGTGAAGGACGGTAACTGATGATGTAGTGTTGCAGAAATCTATGGTAGAAGCACTTGACTTTGCAAGTCGAACAGAACAAAGGATATATGTGGATGTGGAAAATCTGTTTTGTCAATGTAAAATCTGGAGCAGTAAGGAACCAAATGATTAGACGTAGCAGCAAATGCACAGTTAATTAACTGACCGTCATTCTTCAGAAATGGCGTACATCTGCGACCCGCTGTAGAAGTAACAGATGTTTCAGATGTTGGGAACTCTGCAAAAAGGACGAAAAGGCAATGGGTCGATTGAAGAAGTCTAGAAGATAATGCAGTTGAACATGCATCACACATGGCATAAATACGTAAGGAAAAAACAGATGTGAATACCATGAGGAGAGGCGGTATCATGGAAGCCGCGCCATACAACGACACCTCAATGCTAGAAGCACCATACAACGGCGCCTCAATGCTTCTCAGTGTGGTATTTAGCATCTTTTTGGTAGGAGATGGCCCTAAAGTGTAGGCTAACAAATTAGGCTATGTAGCTTCACACTAAATAATGGAAGCAGAATGCACAATGGAATTGGAAGGTAAGCATCTCCATAACATAGCAGCGCACCAACATGCATAAACAAAGTTACCACACTGAAATTATTCATTATCTAAAGAACTTATGTCAAACCTTGTGCAAATAATTAATAGGAAAAATATCAGACTCGCCACACTTCTTAATGGTCAAAATAATCTGACAATTTTGCAATGGCAATAACATGGGTGAGGATAGACGAAGAACTGGAATGCGTTCCCACTCACTCAGCAATGAACTACATATATAAGCAGCAGTCAACTAAATATTCTAAAATGATTTAATTTTGTGACTGTAAGTAGAACCCAGGGAAAAAAAAGTGACGTCCTCATTGAAATAACTAAATTATCATATCTATAATCTAATAGGAAAAATATCAGACAAAGTTAATCCTTTACTCAGAACAAATATTAATGGTGAATGCAAATAACTAATAGGAAAATAACAGATAGTTGTAAATGCAGCAATCTGACAATTGCAATGGCACTCTGCTACACATGGGTGAGGATAGACATAGCGAAGAACTGGAATGCGCTGCATCCCACTCACTCAGCAACCAACTACATATATAAGCAGCTGAGTCAACTAAATATTCTAAAAATTAAAGGATGATTTAATTTTGTGACTGTAAGTAGAACCCAGGAAAAAAAAAGTGACGTCCTCATTGAAATAACTAAATTATCATATGATTCTGACAACAATGTATAAATATCTATATTAATTTGAAGAAATATAAAAATATATGTCTACATCAGTTAATCCTTTACTCAGGAATTCAAAATATTCATTATGTAAAGAACTTATGTCTCAAACCTTGCGCAAATAACTAATAGGGAAAATAACACTCACCATAGTTATTAATGGTCAGCGTAATCTGACAATTTTGCAATGGCACTCAGCACTTGAATACCATTTATATCTGGAACTTAGCGAGCAGAATGGCATATGGTCCCAAATTAGATGTGGTAGAGTGAGATTATGCACCTGAATCGTAGCAATGGTAAGCGGATCTGTTAAACGGAAAATTTAGAGGGCTACATACAGTTGACATTGACATCCAATTGCACATACAGTCACCTGTACATTAACATTTGAGGGGGAAAATAAAATACATGTCTACATCAGTTAATCCTTTACTCAGGAATTCAAAATATTCATTACGTAGAGAACTTATGTCAAACCTTGCGCAAATAACTAATAGGGAAAATAAGACTCACCACAGTTATTAATGGTCAGCAAAAGCTGACAATTTTGCAATAGCACTCGGCAGTTCAATACCATCTTTATCAGGAACTTAGCCAGCAGAATGGCATGCTGTCCCCAATTAGGTGTGGTAGAGTGAGATTATGCACCTGAATCATAACGGATCTGTTAAACGGAAAATTGAGAGGGCTATATACAGTCGACAGTGACTTCCAATTGCACATACAGTCACCCGTACATTAACATCTGAGGGAAAAAAAGGAAGAAAAAGGTATAGCATACCTGAGGTGGAGGGGACGTTGGTGCAGGGGCCATGCGAAGGAGATGGCCGGACGCCTGGTCGACGGCCATGTGCTGCCGCTGCTCCAGGGGCGGCGCGAGGGAGATGGCCGAACGCTGGTTCGGTGCTCTGCGGTGGCCGCGTGAGGGCGAGGGGATCTGGAGGAGGCAAGCCGGCGGCCGGGTCGCACTGCCGCTGGTGCAGGGGCGCGCAAGGCAGAGGCCGTGACGCAGTTTGGGGAAGAGTGCATCGGTTGTTCTAGAACCTGGGTGCGTGGCCGGCATCTAATGGCAACGTGGCTGGAGGCATGAAGGATCCAACGGCTGGGATTGGAGCACTGTGGATCTACATTATAATAATAGTCTTACAGGCAGCAGAATGTACCAACGGCGGTTGCATTACCGCATTCACGTGTAGTATGTGTTTGAAGACCTGCTCCTCCCTATCCCTCCAAATCCCAAAAATCCACACAACGAATGTGACTGACAAGGTGCCAGTCAGGCCCTGCCCCTGGCTTGTAACGCGCCGCCAAACCAGGGCAACCATTAATGAACAATTTCTCGAGAGCAGTTAGGCGTTGTATGGACTGGGGCAAGTATTGAAGGGCAGGGGAATGCTGGAGATAAAGCTCACGAAGCGCAGAGAGTTGTCCAATCCACTCCGGCAGCACCGTCAGTGCAGGACCTGATAACATGTTGAGACGTTCAAGCGAGGTGAGGTGCTGAATCGCCTCTGGGAACTGCTTCAAATCGCCCATACTCAGTTCAAGGTGTCGCAGAGAATGCAGTTCTCCAAGCCAGTCAGGCAACGTGCCAACGGCGGGGCATCCGCTGATGCAGAGACGCTCGAGAGAGGTGAGGTTCCGCATGCTCTCTGGTAACTGTGCCAGGTCATTGCACCTGTAAATACACAACTCTTTCAGCTTAGTGAGGTGCTGCAGCAGTTCCCAGCCAGATGATGATCCTATAACTTCGATTAGCACTAGCTTCTTGAGGCGAGGGACCAACGCATGCATGCTGGGCAGCTGATGGGAGAACCTTCCTGTGGATAGCAGCTGCACATTGCTTCTGTTTAAAGACATATGCTCCAACGATGGTGGAAAGTAGGGGCTCCCATTTAATTTCGGGCACCCACGTATGCATAGACTGGACAGGACAGGGAAAGGATATTGTGCTGCCAATTCTTTCTCCCCAGTTTCAAAACCACTTGATGTAGTCCACAGCTCCTCTAAATTAGGCATTTCGTCCAGCACAAGGTCCTTCAGCGAAGGCAACTCAACAAATCCTCTCATATGCCTCAAGTTTGGAAATCTTTTCAGCACTAACCGAGTTAAACGAAGGAAATGGGATGCAGTAGTTTGCTTCAGCATTATGCCACCTTCACAATATGAAGAATCATTTTGCTTCATCATCCATCCTGGCAAGCAGGGGGCCCTGTAACCATAGATATAAAAGTCCTCAATTTGCGATGGTGGTTCAAGAGCGTTCAGCACACCCCAATCATGTTCCATATCTGATACCAACTCTTCTTCGGTATCACTTAAAGACCAGTTCAGCACCAAATGTCGTATGTTACTATTCCGCTTCAAGCAAGCCTTCTCTGCATCACTTGGATTCTTCAAATACTTAAGGTTGGTAATTTCCAAGCGACCACCTATCATATCAAGGTTTTCTAGCTCTGAGATCCTCGCATCATCTGCACCACACCCAACAACAAACAATCCCAGCTTTCTTAAACGGGTCAGCTGTCCCAATCCTGATGGTAAGCAGCACAGTTTACTACAACCGTCTATGTTCAAAACTGCAAGCCTTTTCAAGTTTGCTATGCCCTTAGGCAACTCCCGTAGCTCCTCGCATCTCTCAAGGTCAATACATTCTAGAGTATCAATCGATGTAACCCATTGAGGTAGCATGGTAACTTTGGTTCCAGAAAGGTTCAGAGTACGCAATGTATGACAGGATAATGTGCTTGGCAGGTCTTGCAAACCCGTACAATCATTAAAGTTGATAGTTCGCAAGTTTTTGAACTCCCCAATGATGTCTGACGGTAGTTGTTGCAGAGATGAACAACGCTCTATATCAAGTACACATAGGTTTCCAATTCTACCTAGAGAGCTTGGTATCTCTCGGAGCTTCGTGCAGGCATATAGTTGCAAGGACTGAAGAACATAAAAGTCACCAATGGACTGAGGCAAACTCTCAAGATCAGTAATGTAACGCAACTCTAGAGTCCTTAGCTTCCGAAGCTTTCCAACAGACTCAGGTAATGTCACAAAACCTTTGCAGTTAACAAAATGGAGTGACTGCAAGTTCCAAAACCTCGAGATAGCTTCTGGAACTGTTGTAAAACTAACATTGTGGATTTCAAGATACCCAAGATACTCAAACTTTAATATGAATAGTGAAAACGGAGTATCAATTGCATAGTCCAAAACAACACTGCGCATACAACAACTATTCTTCACTGTGGTATCAAAAGATGGCTTACTGTCAGAGATATATAGAGCACGGACCTTGTCAAATAAGCCCTTGTCAACATTCTCAGTGAATGAAGTCAAAGATAAATATCTATATCTATGAGTAAATTCTTCTGTTGTATGAATTGGCACACAAGTCACCAGTTCATCCTTTAGTATCTGTCGAGTGAGATCATGGATCAAATCGTGCATGTTGTATATATCAGTATTCCAGCTCCCATAAGCTTCCTGAAGAAACCTGACTTTTACAAGAGAATCTAAGTAGTCTCTTCCGATATCTTCAGGTTGCTCTCCATTCATTGCATTGATGAATCCATGAGCTATCCATTGGGCAATCAAACGATCTTTCTGGATTTCATAGCCCTTCGGGAATATGGAGCAAAATGTAAAGCACTGCTTCAGTTCATCTGCCAAGTGAATATAGCTCAACTTCAAGGATGCAAACACTCTGTCATTTATCCTCGGAACATTCCATAAATTATTATCTCTTATGGCCCTCCACGTACTTATTTGCTTCTTGTCACGAAGGACTGCTCCAAGAGTTTGAATTGCTAGCGGCACCCCACCACATCCCTTGATAATCTCTTTTCCGACTTGTACATAATCGGAGCTCAAATCTTGCTCTGCCCATCCAGAACCCTTCAGGAATAAGTTCCAACTCTCAGACTCTGATAAGAATGCCAAATCAAATATATATCTTGATTCCACAGCTTCTGCAACCTTTCGATCACGAGTGGTTAACATAATCCTTGTTTCAGGTGCACCACATTTTAGCTGCACCATGAACTGTGCCCAGTCATGTCTGTCCTCATGCCAAGCATCATCAAGGATAAGAAGAAACTTCTTATTGCTCAACTTCTCGGAGATTTTTTGGGCCATGTGCTGCGGGGGATGACTATCTGACTTATCTCCAACAATTGTTTGAAATAGCTTGCCGATGAGCTTCTCAAAATCAAACTCTTGAGACACATGGACCCAGAATATTCCATCTCCGAAGTGCTCCTTTATCTTGACGTCATGGCAAATGTGTTTGGCCAAAGTAGTTTTGCCTGAACCCCCTAATCCGACGATAGAAACTACCATGCTGTTCTCTCCAGCATTACATTCTACAAGCTTAGATATGATTGCATCCTTTTCTTGATCCCTCACGGGTATTTGGACTCAGAACCTCGCTCAACCAGTACATTTTTCCAACTGTCCTGTAGCTAGTACCAACATGTTGATCCCTTGGAACTAAAGTATTGACATCACTTCTTTGCTTGACGATTGCAGCAAATCTCACCTTGATTGCCTTGATCTTATGAGCCATCTTGTATCGGAATGCAAATGCCTTTGGTTTTGCACAGAAGCAGCCAGCTATAGCACTCTTGTCATCATCTCTTTCCATCTTCTGTTTCTCAGCTTCTAGCTGGACTTCTTGTAGTACATCGTCAATGTCATAAGCCACATCTTTCAATTTTACAACCCAGAGAGACTGTGGCTCACTCTGTATTGCTCTGTCACGTACTGCCGACAGCCAGCCTGTAATCTCTGCGTGTATCTCCTGGAGCTCGGAGAGATCCCTTTGTACACCGGTTATGGCAGCAAACTCAGTGGCTAACAGTGAAACTAGCTTGTCACCTGCAACCTTCAACACTCCAGATGCTAAAGCAGCCTCCATCCCACTCATTATGTCAAAGAAACTCTTGCCTAAACCCCTGCGGATGAAATTGAAAGCAAGCGGTTACATTGAGTTTCGCAAATCCAAAACAGGATTGTGCGTGTTGGGCTTAAACCAAAGCAGATTAAGTACCTCAACTCAACTGCGGCGAGGCTACAACCCAACGAGAAAGAGGAAATGGGTTCTTTCTTCGGGGGTCCAGCTCCAGGATGCAGAGGCCTGCAGATCTGAGGCAGGTGATGAAGAAAATGAGCAGGTGGTCAACCCAACGAGAAGGAGAAACAGGATTCCGGCCGAGATCATCCTCATTACCTCGGTCGCGTCGTCGTCGGCGACGAGAGGCCTCCCCTAGTCGGGTTGTGCGCGGCGGTCAATGGTCACTGCTGCTCACTTCTCACGCCCATGGAGACGAACGGAGAGAGGGGAGTGAATGTCCACACCGCACTTGCCATAGAAAACAAAGAGAGAAAGATTGTCGGATCGGATGCAAAGCGGAAGGAGATTGCGACTGAGGACCGGACGATGTTTGCTTTGTGAGTTGGTGGTGGTGACTGGACCCCGGCGGCCACTGAGAGCATGATTGCTTTTCGCCTCAGAAATCGCGTGGCAACTGGCAAGAGCATCTATCTACAGTTGTTCCAGAAAATCCATCCTCTTTCCCTGGAAAAACAAGCTCCAATAGATCCCTTTCTAATCCTCTTTTCCAAACTTTTTTTCTTTCCTTGGAAAAACAAGCTCCAATAGATCCCTTTCTAATCCTCTTTTCCAAACTTTTTTCTCAATCTCGTTTGGATATTGCCGAGTTCATCTCAATCCACGTATATTAAGGTTTACATTAGTTCAAGTTTTACTTCAATCCACCTAACATATATCGATTAAGACGAATCCCACTACATCAAAGAAGACCTACAAAGGGGATTGCTCACCCATTCCCTTTCCTACTAGAGGCTGTTTTTCTACCACCTGTCGTTTGTTAGTCACCAGGCCTCGCCCACGGCCCACCTCGCTAGTCGCTGCCCGTTGCGCCCCAGTGCCAACCGCGTCCTCCACACGCACGTATCGTTAGGCTTAGGCCTGGACAAAAAACTCGCACTCGGTACCTCGCTCGACTTGGCTTGTTAGTGGCTCGGCTCGGATCGGCTCGTTTATATTTTCCAGTGAATTGAGCCAGCATTTTAGCTCGTATAGTTAACGAGCCAGCCAGCTCGAGTTGGCTTGCGAGCCTAACGAGCCAAAACTATTTGCCTTAAACTTATATTAGTTTTGTATAGCTTGTTGACGCGTTGCACTTTATAATTGGTTGATTGATGGCTGGACCTGGACCTGGACCTGCAAATTCAGGATTACTATAATTTTATCACTTTGTTTTAAATAGATGTATAGATCCTTAATAATGAATTATGGATGCATTATATATATAAATATAGAGTGCAGGCTATTGATGTATGTTTGGTACTGTAGTATATTGTTATACTTGTATATATGTCAGTACATATTAATTTATTTGTTTGATTTAAGGCTTATAAATGGGTTATTTCTGTATTATTACTATTTTCAAGCTTTAAATAAATATATAAAATTAATTTTTTTATGTTTTTTGTTGTCTGGCTTGCGAGCTAAATGAGTCGAGCCGAGTTATCCAGCCATAGTCAGGCTGCGCTCGCACTATCACATGGTTGAAGAAGAGAGGAGAGAAGGAAAAGAAAGAGAAATAGTAACCCGCTACATGTAGGTCACATGTGTCCGGAGAGGAATAAAGAGGAACTGATACAACATCCATCTCCTGTATTTTGAGATTTCTTTATCTCAGACTTAGGAAAAATGAGATGTTCTGTCTGTGGGAGATGCTCTAACAAAGTAAAAGGGTATCAAGTTATGCATGTATCTAGTATATGGGTACGGTGTAGTTATAAATGGGTTCGAGTTGTAACCGGGAGTTACAGATAGAGTTTAAACATACTTTTTATCGGTAATGCTCGGCCACGGGTGTCCGTCCGTTCGGATGCGATTCCCAAGCCTGCGCAGTGGACCAGTCCCATCTCTCTTAAAAAAAATCCCTACTCCGCCTCACAACGCACATGCCAAGCTAGAAAGGCATTCCCAAATCCCAAGCAATGACTCCGCCGCTGTCGTCGTATGACTTGCAACTCGCGTCGGCCGGGCTAATCTTCGCCGGCTGCTGCTACCTCTCTCTTCTCCGTTCGTACCCGGCGACCGGCATCCCTCCTCCACCAGCAACAAGTAGTAATGACTCCGGGTGCCACCGCTGCACCCACATCTTGTGCTAGCCGGGCTAATTCCGCCTTTGTCGCACCCCCATCCCCCATGAGCGGACGACGCTAGATGATTGCAGCCAAGCTAGCAGCAACACTGGAGTAGCAGCATCGGGCCCACGCCGACAGGTGCTAGCTTGGGCCGTGAGCAGGTGCGGGAGAATCGTTTGAGGAGCGACGGGCCATGCCGATGGGCGCAAGCTTGCGGAGCGACGTACCCGAGGTTGCTGGATACCATAGTTTCTCACCAGGTAGGCTATGGCTGCCTGCAACACCGTGTTTGAAGTGTTTCAGACGTTTCAGACTTATGTTTCAAGCGTTTTGTCTGGATGTTGCAAAAGTAGATATAGAATGTTGCAGATGTTGCAATGACAATATATGCATGTTGCAAGCCTATGTTTCAAATGTTTTAGGTCAGATGTATGTTTCAAGTGTTTCATCTGAATGTTGCATATGTTACTATGGCTATACACATATGTTTCAAGCATATGTTTCGAGTGTTTCAGATGTTTTAGACTTTATGTTGCAAGCGTTTCATCTGGATGTTGCACAAGTAGATCTAGATGTTACATATGTTGCTATAGCTATACATGCATGTTTCAACCGCATGTTTCAAGTGTTTCATCTGTTTCATATGTATGTTGTAAGTGTTTCATTTGGATGTTTCAAAAGTACTCCCTCTGTCCACAAAAGAATGCAATTCTCATTTTTTAAGAGTCAAACAGTCTGAACTTTTACAAAATTTATATAAAAAGTACAAACATTCATGGCACAAAATAAGTACTATTAGATTTGTTATAGAATATATTTTCATAATAAGTTTATTTGGAGACATAAATGATAAAACTATTTACTATAAATTTTGTCAAACTTGAGCGAAATTGACCGGCACGGATACCATAGTTGCATTCATTTTTGGACGGAGTGAGTAGATCTCGCGGAGCATCCACATGTTGCAATGGTGTGGTATTGCTGCTACTGTGTGGATCACCGTGGGTCATCGCATGTTTCAAAAGTATATTGTTACTGCTGCTGCATGGGTCACCGTGCCTACCCTGGTGCTGCTATGTGCATGCGAGCTTGTGAACGTGCCGCATGCTGATGCAGTGGTGCTAGTGCTGTTGTGTGCACCTGCCGGTGCTGTTGCTGCGTACATGCGGGCGTGTAACCGCGCTGCCTGCTGGTGGTGCTGCTGCTATGCGCATGCGCGCATGAAAAGGAGCGGGCTTGGGTGGTCCCCACGCATGCATGGGCATGGACGAGTGGGGCGCTGGTGGCGTGGCCTTTTCCCGTGGGACGTGTGACGGAGGAGGCGCGGGAGTTGCATTCGCGCGTGTGACGGAGGAGGCGCGGGAGCTGTGTCCGAACATGTCATCCATCCGAACTTCCATGCGCTAGCCATTCGCCCTGGAATACTTTTATATCCCTTAGTGGGAGGTTTGAGCGTCTAGATGTCATGACCTCTTACAGTATTTACTATATAATAATAAATTTAGTTTATTTTGTACCGTGTGTTAATTTTTTATTCTGGACTACGTTACAGTTAAGTGGTACTGTGCCTTTGAAAAACGAAATTGCTAGCGCTCAGACGTCCGATCTCATATTGATCCGTCGGACGGTATCGTGGAGCTTGGCAACTGCGCCCTGGAGCTTGGCAACGTCAAAGTTCGATCACGACCCGTTCCCAGCAACGCTGCGATCTCCCACACTATTGTTCCCCACATGCGCCAACGACCCCTGCGTGCAGCCCTCTCTCTGAGAAGATCAGCCTACGCCACGTGTCTTGCCCATGCCACACGTCTTGCCCACGCACAACTGCTCAGCGCTTAGCGTGCCACCTCAGGCGCGCAACGCAATATGGCCGACTGGTGGTAGGGAGGGAGTCCGAGTCGCCATGGATTTGATAAGAGAGACTCTGAGAAGATCAGAGAGAAGGTGAGGGTGGAAAAAGAAACGGCCTCTAATGACCCATATCATTATTAACCATGCACCACAGCTTGTTACTCTTGACTTTACTGAACTCTTAACTTCACTTTGATTCAGGCGTGTCCACTAGTCCCCATTTGGAATCAAGAAACTCTGACAGAAAAGAGTCAAGGCCACGCTTGTTGCTGGTAACAAATTCATTGTTCGATAAAGCAAAAGATTCCCACCTCTCATGATCAGACGTGATGTTATTGTCATGCACTCATGCTAAGGATATAGTTGCTATTAACAGTCGCCCCTACACTCCACGCCCCCAACTGTGCCTACATTTCACGCGCCCACCCAGGGGCTCGCGCACGTGGGGACCGCTGGCGACCTGCGCCCGCCACTCCTTGCGTCCGGATGGATGGCCGTGCAGCCTGCCCCCGTCCGCCTCGTCTCCCCACCTCTCGACGTGCACCCCGCCTCGTCCCTCGCCCGCTCCTTCCTTCCCACGACGGCCTTCTCTTTCTCCATGTGGGCAAGACTGGGAGCGCCCCACTCGTGCGCCCGTCTGTTGGTCCCCAACTGCTTGTGCGTGCCCCATCCCCCGGCGCCTGGGCCGTGCGCCCATCACTCATCGTGCCCTTGTGAAACACTTGCAACATGAAACACTTGGATGCAACATACATCGGATATAAATGAAACATTTGAAATATACTGTTGAAAACATATATGTGAAATATATGCAATATTCAGATAAAACACTTGACAACATGTGTGTGAAACATATGTAACATCCAGATAAAACACTTGAAACAAGTGTGTGAAACATATACAACTCTAGATAAAACACTTGTTGCAACATAACCGAAAACACTTGCAAAAATATGCAACATGATCTACTTTTGCAACATCCATATGTAACAATTGCAACATACCTCTGAAACATCTAAAACACTTGAAACATACATTTGTAACATAGGGGAGTGGAAGGATGGGCCCGGTCAATTCCGATCATCGGGGTGGGATCCGACGGCGAGCGGCAGCGCGCGAGCACCACCAGCACCAGCACCAGTGGTGGCGCGCGAGCACCACCACCATCCAGCACCAGCAGCACTGGCCTTGGCTCAGCCTGGCGGGCGACGCGCGCTACGAGAGGGAGTAGGTGGTGTAGCGCACGACCGAAGTGAGGACCGAGCGGCGTAGGTGGGGCGTGCGACGGCGCAGGAGCGAGGAGCGAGCGAGCAAGCGGCGTAGGGTCTGGGGCACGGTGGGAGAACGCCGCCGCAGCGAGTGGAGCGAGGTGCGGCGTCCATATGAGAATAAGAGACATGGAAATGAGCAAGGAATAAAAAAAGCAAAGTTGTGGTGCACGTCACGCCACGCGTTTGTCTGGAGGGAGTCGCTGGCGTCGGACGTCATGTTTGTAGCATTACCGTTTGAAAAAACTGAATACTAGTGTAAGCTACTCTCTTAGTCTCTAAATAACTGTCGTTCTCGCTTTCCGAGAAATAACTTTGACTAGTTCTATATAAAAAAATATTAATATTTATAGTATATAATTAATATCATTAGATATATTGTTGAATCTATTTTATAATAAATTTATTTGAAGACATAAATATTACACATATTTTCTATAAATTCAGTCAAACTTCCGACATGAAACAAAAATGACGGTTATTTAGGGACGGAGGGAGCAGGCTCGGAAAGCAGAGCCGCGGAGACACTAGTATGTGTGCGATGGTTGAGGTAGTCTAATCAGTTCTTGATGAGTAAACCACTGCAGTCGAAGTTGATGGGGAATTCACTTAGGAATTATTTGTAAGTTGTAGAATTCTTTTTCATATATGCTTTTACAACGGTACTGATGCGAGCTTATCTATATATATAAAGATCTCTAACCTTGGTGATGATAGCTACAGTGCCGCTTCGTCTCACAGACTCAGAATCCTGTTCATTCATCCACAGTAAACCATCCCTGGCCGTCCGATCCTTTCTTCCTCATTTGGATGTCCGCCACGCCCGTCGGCGGTCAGCCGCGCATCGCCGCTTCCTTGGCTCGGCCTTATCCTTTCCCAGCACTCCACCGACGGCCTTATCCCTTCCCTGCACTCCACCGACGCCCACCAAAAAATCCCCGCCGCAGCGGGAGGTGCTAGGCGCGTCCGCCCCTGCGTGCTGTAGGCGGACGGCCCGACACCACTCTCTGGTCAGGCGACGTAAGCGCAGCCTTGACGACGACGCCTTGGCAGACGGTGGTGCCCGCCTCCCGGCGTGGTGCGGTGTGGGCGACCCTCGCCGGTGGCCCCCCTCGCGTCGCCCGACGCCTCTTCGTCGTCCGTCCACTCCGCCTTTACCTCTGTCGTTCCCTCTCTCACGTCGCGCCCATGCTCCACGCCATGGAACTCCACCCCTGAGTTCAAAACGCGGGGGAGCGGAACAGGAGCACCCTTTGGTGCACGCGACCTCGAATGCATCGGATCAGTTGGTGTGCCCACGAATTGTGAGTCCAACCTTCTCTGTCTTTGCCTCTCTAGACAGATTTGATTCGATTCGATCTATCTGTCTCAAACAGGACCTGGTGCGGACCATTTGGGGTTGGCCTCCAACTGCGACTCCAACCTTTACTCTTTACCTCCGATGTAGCGTGGACTTGCCTACCCTACAGGAGGCGAGGTCGACATATGGTCCCCTAGCGGCAAGGTGTGCAAACCGTGGTTTTGACCCACCTTGCCTCTGTTGCCTCCTCATTTATTTCCCAGTGTTCATGCTCATCGTTGTATAGCCTACTGTGACGCAATGCCATCTTGATTTACTCGACCTCTGCTCTCCGTGTTCTTTGTAAATTTTGTTGCATTTCTTAGTGTTATCTCCCTTGACGTACTTGCTAAATTATTAATTTCACCCTCATTGTCCCATTTTTTAGGCACATACAAGAGTATTCCATAAATGCAGTCTGTGATTTAGATAAAGTTGTGCAAACTTGGATTCCATCGGTCTTGTTGGCAAGGAGGACTTGAGAAGATACAAATTGAGGTTTCAATTCGGTTGTATTATTTACTGTTTACGACAGAGCAATAAAATGTTGCTCACATCCTCTTCGACACATTTGCACCAAAGCATCACCATGAAAATTCACATGA